ATCACAACTGTTACACACACACACACACACACAAGCACAAGCAGATCCACATGCAGCTCTGCCCAGAGATTCAGATCGCCAGCTTCAAAATCCCATCTGGAAAGACTTAACTGTCTCTGTGTGTGTGTGTATGTGCGTCTCTCTCACTCTCTTTCTCCTCCCTCTCTCTCTCTCTCTCTCTCTCTCTCTCACCCTCTCTGCTCCGGTCTTTCTCTCATTTTCGCTCTGTCTGCAGGTTCAATCAGGACACCTAAATATGTGGAGAATCCTTGTGTTTCTGGAGATCCTGTCACCTGTGCTCTGAAGAACAGGAAGAAGAGCAATACTGGTGAGTACTTCTGTGCGTGTGTGTGTGTGTGTGTGTGGACCAGTCGGTCTGTTATGAAATGTATTCTTTTTATGAATGTTTGCATTTGTAGTTTCATTGATTTATCTGTGGGTCAGGTTTTGTTACGTTGTGGGTACCATATATCCTCACTAAAGAGATAACCAGACATAACCTACGTTTTATGAATAAATAAATATTAAATGCTTCCTCAATATAAAAACCATAGAAGTCGATGGAAAGTCCCCACAGTCTTTGAGTGAAATTTGCCCTTGTCGTAAGCTGAGGGATGGTGTTTTTAAGATGTGGGGAGTTACATAAATTTACAGCTGAGAGTTCAGTAAATCCAGCAGTCCATTAAACCACATTCCTCCCTCCCTCTTTTTTACTTGGTAAACTTCTGTCTTCTTGCGCCAATCTTTTCTCCTACTTGCAATTCATTTTCTCTGTAGAATGCTGATCTGTGCTTGTATGTGTTGGTGCGCTCAGTGAATTACTCAATCTGTCATTTTTGGTGATGTGATGCTGTGTAAGCCACTTAGGATGGCAGATTTCAGCTCTGCATTGTAAAATTTAATTGGAATATGTGTGAAATCTGGAGGCTTACAGGTGGGCATACAAAGAAATGGTCACAAAATGTTCCTGTTAGATGTATTCACACATCAAATTTAATTCCAAATGTTTGAGACTACTAGTGAACATGTTTTTATTCATTTTGTTTTTTTCCCCCTAAAAGGCTGTATTTATATGATCAAAAATATTGTTATATATTTTTACATTTTAAAATAACTTTTCTATTTTAATATATTTTACAATGTAACTTATTCCTGTGATGGCAAAGCTGAATTTTCAGCAGTCTTCAGTGTCACATGATCCTTCAGAAATATTTCCAATATGCTGATTTGATGCTGAAGAAGCATGTTTTATTATCAATGTTGAAAACAGTAATGTTGCGTAATATTTTTGTGGAAACCATGATAGCATGGTTCAGCACTTCAGAAGAATTTGAAATACTTATTTTTTTTTGTATCAACGTAACTTCTTTTTTACTGTTACTTTTTGAGTCCTTTCTGAATAAAAGAATGAATTTGAATGGCAGTTTACATAACTTTTTTTATATAT